CCCTAAAACCCTAAACCCTAAACCCTAAACCCTAAACCCTAAAATACTCTCGGGTTTCCACTAACCTACCACTCGGACAACGGGTTTCAACCCTAAAACTCACCACCCGGGCCCGGGCCGGGGTTAATATCAATGCCAAAACCCTAAAACCACCCTCTGACCGGGTTCTACCCCGAAAACCCTCATCTCATGGGCCCTGGGTCCCTTGCTATCTATATCAAAACCTTGTAACTGATTTACTGACTTTTGTTACTCTGATCTCTTCCTATGCACTCTCGGACGGGTTGGAACCACTAATCTAATAACAAACAACTTTGGAACACCAACATATATAACCCTAAACACCTATCTACAAACCCTCACCACCTATCTACAAACCCTCACCACCCATCCATAAACCCTCACCACCTATCTACAAACCCTCACCACCCATCCATAAACCCTCACCACCTATCTACAAACCCTCACCACCCATCCATAAACCCTCACCACTGGCATCTCTCGGAACATTCCCAACTTCTAAACCTCGATCTCCGTATAACACACGATCCCTATCACTAATGACCTTATCACTTACTATACAATCGTCCTGTATATCACCTTCCTAATACCCATCATATATCTATCCTCCTGACCCTATAATTCCCATATATTTCTACCGTAATCATCCCTCTCACCTGGAAATACACTGAATCAACCATGGAACCCGGCAACATGACAACATATATTTGGCCATCGTCTTTATTACTTGAATACGGAAAACACGAACGCCGCTCTCGATTTCCACCTACCCACCACGCTCAACTCCTTGATATGCTCTCCGTAACCAAATAAACTCTTCCGTAATCTGCGCTCGCTTTCGTCCACAATTCCGCGCCATCTGTCCCAAATACCGAATCAACTCTGTATCGTTCGCCCGGATATTATCCACCCCATGCTCACTCAATCGCTGGAACCACCGTTCTCGGATTACTGCATTGGCATGGGGCCCATGCACCATCATCGCAATCGTCGGAATCAATGCCGTACGATATCCATCACATGCCTGGACCGTCTGCGGACTATGCTCCGTTCGCCGATCGCTCCGCGGACATATATACTGCGGCATCCCACACCAAAAATGCGCCGTGAACCCATCGTACGAAATCTGCCGTCGAATCTTGACCATCCAATCCTTACTGGCCTGCGCAATCTTGCCGCTGCCCCCTTCACCATACCAACACTTCCACATCTCATGTCCATCGTCACGGCCTCCTTGGCTGCATGTCCAACAACGATCAACCCACTTCTCAATCTCACGGATCAAAAACTCTTCATCCTCATATTGCTGACCGGCCCTCCCATCCGCCTGCTGGCATAATTCGGCCCGTTGGATATCCTGTTGCCGAAATGTATGCTGGATGGCGATTGGTACGGCCCGGGCCATGGTGCTGGGAATATCCTCCGTCGGGCCGGCCATCACCGGCTCAACCGCCCCAACATCAACCATCGGGTCATCGGCGATAACGGGGGACGCGGATCCAATCCGGGACTCCTGGTCTTCCCAATTGGGCATACATCCATCACATGCGGACTCGACCACCCGATCACCACATCGCTGTCGTTGGTATTCCTCGATGGGTCCATCCAAATACCCATCCAATATCACTCGCCGGCAACCCGTCACCGCCGCCTCCATATACTCAACAACATGGGCATGGTCGTCCGGGGGCGCATCGTGCATCCAAAACGGACGGCATTCCCGCCCCATCGTCTGACCCTCGGCCTGGATGATAATCGCCTCGCTGGGCTGTCCATCACGCCCGGCCCGCCCACTTTCCTGCGCGTAATCTAACATGGTCCGGGGCTGACCAACGTGGATCACACTGCGGATATCGGGGATATCAATCCCCATCCCTAACGCACTGGTGGCCGTGATCACCGCCCCGGCCTGGTGGCGGAATGATGCCAAAATCCCTTCCTTGTCCACCTGCTTGCTATGGTATGCGGCACAACCTAATAACTCGGCCAATGCGGTGACATGGGCCCGGACGGTGGCATATATGATCACCCGGCCGGGGTACGCTCGGCGAACACGGTCCTGGATGAACTGGATCACACTCCGCATCTGCACCCACTGGAACGGATGGTCATATCCATCGTCTACGGGGATCGTATGGACACGATATGCGATATTGGGCCGGCTGGTGTGGCCCCGATATAATACCACTTGATCCCGGACCCAATGCATCCGATGGAATAATAATTCCTCGCTGCGGGGGGGGCAATGTCGCGGTCAACATCACGATCTGGGTGGCTGCGGTTCGTAACTTGCCCAACTGCTGGAATAATGGCCGGAATCGCTCCTGTTGACTTAATACCATATGGCACTCGTCCACCACAATCCGATCTAATCGCTGTAACATCCGCTGCCGGGTCACAAAATCGGCAAATGCATCGCTGTCGGTGCTCTCGGGCGTGATCAATACGATGGATACCCCATCGGGTGGCCGTCGGGGGTCCCATACCGCACATGAAATCCCCAATCGCTGGCATCGTGCTTCCATGTCACCGCGTAATGCAATCAATGGAACAACCACGATGGTTAACCCGGCACGGCCACTCACCCACGCGGGCAACATAAACAACACACTCTTACCTCCCCCGGTGGGCATGACCGCCACAATGGGGCTTACCCCATGCTTGATGGCTTGTAATACGGGACCCTGTTGCCCCCGCAATGCTACGGTGTTGCTCCCCATCATGTGCTGGAATGCCTCGTCTATGTTGGTCTGGTGTAAATCATATCGACGCTGCGTACGGGCCTCGGCCGTTTCGACTTCCCATGGGTTGGGCTTACGCTTGGTGCCGGGGGCCCGGCGGTCATGTTCGATACGGGTGGACTCGAATCCTAAAAAATAATGCCAATCCTGGCTCACCTGGCGGAATAACTCGCGGTGCCGGGCCGTGGTGTTGGGATTCTCCATCATCATCCGGCCATATTGCGTCCCGGCAATGCTGGCGGAATGCGCGGCCTGGATATCCGCAATGAATGCTCGGATCCCATCATCATCCATGGATGTCTCGTCGTCAATGTCGGGGGCCTCCTCCTCGGTGTTGGCCTGGAACTGACTGCTGGGGCGTAAATACCGCCGGCTGATGGCGATGGCGATGTCACGGTATGCCTGTAATCCCAACTTCTGCCCATCCAATCCAATCGCGGTCTCGCGCTTCAATACCTCCCGTAACCGGACGCTACTCCACTCGGTCTGCCGATCGGGATCCGGGGACCATACATACTCGGCCCGTCGACCGATGGTGGCGGCTTCGCCCCGTATATGCCGCTGATATGACTGCATCTGCTCCACAAATGGCAATACTAACCATAAATACCATATGACCAACTCACCAATCTCCCGGGGTAAATATCGGAAAATCACCTTGGTATCATTGGCCACATGGAACCCCTTATGGTATCGACTGACAAATGTGACCATGCCATCCTCAATGAATATATTGCGGCGCTCTCGCTCACTGTTACGATGCCGGATGCTCATTAACTCGGGACCCCGGCTGGGTTGACCGGCACAAACATGGACGGCCACGCTTAACCGCTCACGGAACTGGCTCACCACTCGAAAAAACCGATCGATGGCGGGCATCCGGAACCCGGCCCCGTGGGACTGTACAAACTGACGCTGTAATCGGGGCTCGTGGCGGATACGCTCCATGAACCACGTCGGACCCTGGACCGGCCACGATGTACGTAAATCCTGTAAAAAACTCCATCCGGTGGCACTCTGCGTGGCATCATCGTACAAATGATCCCACGGGATGGCTGGGGGCGGGTGATCGGTGCAAAACATCAACTCGTGGACCAACTGCTGCCGTAACCGGCCAACCAACCCATGCACAAATCCGCGGAAATGGCCCATGGTAAAATGGATCTGTTTGTACAACAATTCATCTCCGGACTTCCACCCGATATGACCCTCGCTGGGGGTATTCATAAATATCGTCCGTCCGTACGTACGTAAATCTAACCACCACTGGACGGGGCCATTGGTCCCACGAACCATGAATAAATCCACCAAATATGTGACCCATTCGGGGAACGTTCGGTCGGGATGCTGGCGCTGCTCCTGTGTCAATGCTCCTAATATGTCATCGCTGGTGGGGGGGGAACTACGCATGGCCACCGGGGATGGGGGGGCACTGCCATATCCTTCATCATCGTGGGCATATGCCTCATCGATGCCGATCATATCACCTTCAAACCATGGCGGGTTCTGCTGCCCGGCGAACCCACGACGGATCTCCGATGACCGGGGGTCTAACCGCAATGCTTTGTGCAAAATAAAAAACCGCGCGATCTTGATCAAACTGGATATCCGGGGGGGGGAAATTCTCGGGCGTGGCCCAACCAAACTGCCCGCATCCAATCACGGCGGTGGCACAAATCATGGCACATCCATATTCATCGTTGCGGATCTTCTGGCGTAATAAATCGATGCAAAACGTTAATAATGCATGCTCGATGGGACGAATCTCGAATGGCTCGGGCTCATCATCCTCGGGGTCGGGACAACTGGCCTGGGCCTGGGCATGGCGCCACACGGCATCCCATAACTGCTGCTGTCGGGGGGTAAATGAATACTTGGGTGATTCCCAATCATGTTCAATCTGGGATGGTGAATCAACCTGGGTGTCTGATATCGGGTACGGACGTGATCATACCTGGGTTCGTGCAAAAAACATCATAATCTGCTGCCACGGTGCCACATGCTTTTGAATGGCGGTGGCATCTAAATATGCCAATAATGGCTTATGTGGACTCTCGTCCTTCATCGTACGGACCACATCAATGCGTACTAAATGCCCGCACGCCTTGGCGATCTCCTGGCTCACCGATGCCAATCGCTCCATGGCCTCCCAAATGACCAATGCGATACGCTCTGGTCCCTCGGCATCCTCCTCGGGGCGCTGGGTACTCTCGAATAATGGCTGCCGGGGGGTCCCTTGTAAATACCGAACCCACCCCGTCCGATTCAACCATGGCGTGGCTTCATCTAACTCCCCGGCCTGGATGATGGTTTCATGGGCCTGTTGATCTTGCTGCTGATACTCCTCAACCATTTGCACTAACTGGTGAATCCGGTCGGGGTCTTCCACGGGGTCTATGGGGGGGCTCATTGGGATTGGGCTGCACAATATGAATATAATGTGAACCGGGGCCTTGGCTGAATATACGCTGACACGCAACGGCTCGGCTATTGGCGTTAATGGCGGCCTGGATGGCTTTTTCCTGTCTGGGTGTGGGACGACCACGGCTTTGCTGTACACGATACTGATGGGCCTCTATCCAATGTGCCTTCATCGTACGGATCTGGCGGCATGTATATACCTCACATTGCTGGCACAATAATCCATCCTGATAAACGGGTAACTCGGGGATGGGTTGATCAATCTGGCGGGGCCAACTATCCACCTCTGGGTGATCATCAATATGATCCCACTGCTGGATCACTCTGTCGATATACTGTACCCACGAAATGGGTATCCGATGTACGGTACTACTTAAATGGGCCTTGATCTGTCCCCGGCGTACGGCACATTGACATTTCTGGCAAATCAACACGCGAAATTCGGCATTGACACAAAATAATTCGTGGGCCTGGTATTCGGTGTCCATGTCGGATATGGAAATCTATATATCGGCTGGTATTGTATATCTGGGAAATGGGATCAACTCAATGTTGTTCAAATGGACCCAAAATAAAATGGGATGATGATGGGGGATCTGGGAAAACCCCCCCTGAAATTTGAAACAAAAAAAAACAAATCCTATGACTAAACTACATATGGTGGTTGTTGATGTTGGTGGGTTTGACTGGTCGCGACCGGCGGCTGGTGGTTACCCCATCAAAAAATCTTGCTACTTTGTGGGGGACAAAATCGATACTGGATATGCTCTGATTGTGCTTAAATTTGGCTATGGAATAAAACTAATACTAAATTAAAATATATCGAAATCTGGAAACTCTACGACATTATTTTGCTAAATTCAATGGGGGTTTGAAATCTAAATTCAATGGGCCCTGGACCCACTTTTTTCCCCCATACTTAACAAAACCCTAAAAAATTCAATGGGCCTCATTGAATTTCCCCCCATGGGATAGAGTTGTTATAGCCGGAGCTTTGGCGTATTTTGTTATAGGGTTTTATAGTATAATATTCATATTTTATTTAACTCTATAGTCTTAATTATATAATCTAAAGAGTAAAAGATCTTTTAGTACTATTCTTTTAGTTAGTTAAAGAGTTAGTTAATGTTACGGACCCCGCGACGCGGGGGCTGCAACTCACAAATGGGCCATCGAGAGCCAATCATTTTGCAACCACCACAACCGCCCACAGGTCACGTGCGGAACATCATAAGAAACCATGGCCTTCCCACCAGAGCCACACGATACAGGATAACTGGGTCAACGGATGGGGAAGACATGGTTAACCCAGGCATCGTGCGAAGGGCAGCATCTTGCGTCGGGCTGGTCCCTACGGGTCGTTCCACCCTACGGTAGCTCGGTCCGCACGACAAGCTAGGGCGCGCGACGGAAGGCGCCACAGGAACCAGACCATCGCACGAATCACCACGAGTTCCTAGTAACCCAGAAAAGTCGTGGAGGTTCGTACGATAACACCCGACGCGGGGACAAGGACGCCATGCGATAAGCACGTAATCACAGGGTATACCAGCGGGTATACCAAGAGGTAGATGGAAGGGCACAATCTGGTATACCACCAGGTGTACCCTCCGATATACCACGCCACGAAGGATTAGATATATAAGGACACTCCTTACACACATGTATTTAGCTCTTCGCGATTAATCAATCTAAGTTACTACAGTATACCTTTTGGGATTACTCTTCATTCAGTTTCAGTCCTGTGACAAACATACTACAAGTAGGGGAGCTCTTCGGACTGACCTACTTGGCGCACTACCTGGCGCCTCCTTGAAGTTACTCTATAAGATCCGAGTCCGTGTAAGGCTTAGCACAGCAACGGTACGATTGCGAGTTGATACTTGAGGAGTACGAGTGATAGATATCACGACAACCAACGACACAGACGACAACTGGTAAGTTGTCCACCCAGATCTAACCACTCACTGTGACCAGTTAGCAAAGCGTGTAACACATTAATCGCCCTGTCAACCGAGACTGTGAAGTTTAATCATCATGTCCGCCACCGGCAGTAACAACAGAAAGACACCAGTTCCCGTCCCGCCGCAGACACAAACTCGGCGCGAGGACGACTGGGAAGATCAGCAAGAAGCCAAGGTGAATGCCTTGGAAAGACACATCAAGATCCTTACCGACCAGCTCAACAACTTCGGCCAAGGACACAATCGCGACATCAACGAGCTGCGCGAGTCCATCCAGCAAACGGATGCCCAATTCCAGGCACCATCGCCTATGGCACCAAAACTGCCCAAGGCAGAGAACTTTGACGGAACTCGCTCTAAGTTGCGAGGGTTCCTCACTCAGATGAACATGTACCTCGATGTCAACAAACTTCGGTTGAACACTGAAGCAAGCAAAGTCATCTTCGTGTCAACCTACCTTCGAGGACAGGCATGGGATTGGCTTGAACCATATGTCCGAGAATACTATGAGAAAGATAGTTCGGAATGGTCAACCACCGCGACAACCATCTTTTCCAGCTATTCCAAATTCAGAGAACACCTGGAGAAGACATTCGGCGACATCGACGCCAAGAAAACAGCTGAACGAAAGCTGAAGCGACTTCGACAAACAACGTCGGCATCGGTCTACACTGCGGAGTTTATGCAGCAAGCAGCCATCCTCGGGTGGGATGATTACGCATTGATTCCTTACTACGATGAAGGACTCAAGTCGCACATCAAGGATGAGCTAGCGCGAAGGGACAGACCCGAAACAATGGACGAACTCATTGACTTCGCGGTCCGAGTCGATAACCGGTTTTACGACCGACAGATGCAGAAACGTGAGGTGGAGGGATGGCGACGAGGCTATGGGCGCTCGCACCATCAACGGAACCAGCCTCAGCGACAGCATCAACGACCTAATCGGGACAGTGACCCGTACGGTCCACGACCCATGGAGCTCGATGCGGCGAGGCTACCAATGGAGGAACAGAAGCGTCGAAAGGACAACAGACTCTGTTTCAATTGTGGCAAACCAGGCCACATGGCAAAAGACTGTCGTGGCAAGAAAGACGACAAGAAACCACAGCAACTGCGCGCGACTCAAGAAAGAGGAGCGTACGACACCACGGGAACAGGAAGGGCGCAACGACTTTGCGCTACCCAAGAGAGATAAGCAACCTGAGACGAAGGTCTCAGAAGAAACCCAGACACAAGGCGAGTGGACAGCAGGACGGCCACCACTGCGCACCAGCAAAGAAGAGTTATCCGAGCAAGAGGTCGACGAGATCCGTCAAACGCTCGAAGGGGTCAGTCAGATCCAAGGAAGCCGCGAGGAAAGGGTTGATAGGATCATCGACGCCCTAACCAAACTTCGTGAAGAACGCCAACGGCGGAAGGCCGAGCCCAAGGAGCAGGAGCTCAGGGCCACACAGGAAGCTGACGCAGCTTCAGTCGACTCCCAGCTCGCAGAGTACGACAGACAGGAACAGTATCCGCGGATTGACCTGAATACAGTAGAAAGTCAAGGGTGGACCCAACACGCCTGGGAACCCGTTGACACCCAGGAACCAACGAACGAGTTTCTGGGAACGCCTCAAGAGTCCCCCAGGAACGATGAACTTCCAAGAACAGTTGAAGGACTCCTACGACACTGGACAACCCTTACAGAGGAAGAGGTTCAAGAAATCACAGAAATCCCAGAGACCCCACCAAGGAGATACTGGATGAGTTATGAAGAGGAGCAAGAACTACGACGGCTCTACGAAGCAGGTGGCATGGCCCCCGGAGACCCTCGTAAGTTCCTCTTTGACGATTCGGACGACGACGAAACAGCGCCGTACGTCACTAGCGCGGAAGGAACATGCCCGTGTCACCGGGAAGATTGCGCTTGCATCGGATATGCGCGACACCCCGATCACGACCTGAGAGCTACGATTGGATGTTATGACTACGACTGCAAGACGCATATGCAAGGCAAGCTGGACCATGGAGGGATCGAACCCAAGCCATCGCCACGAATGCGACGCCCAGAGTGGAGACAGCAACTCGCAGCGACAGCATGGGGAAAACACATGAAGGCGGAAGCACTGATAACCTTCCACGGAGGAAACGAGATCAGTGCACGAGTCATGATTGACTCAGGAGCCGCAGGAAACTTCATGGATCCAAGATATGTCTCGACTGGTAGAGTACCAACCGTCAGAAAAGATCAGGTTACTCCACTTGTTGGACTCAACGGAGAAAAGCTAAGCAAGGGAATCACCCACCATACCGAATGGATCGACATGGTCATCGGGAACCACATGGAGTCAATATGCTTTGACATCACCGATCTAGGAGGGTACGAGGTGGTACTTGGTGTCCCTTGGCTACGCCAGCATAGCCCAAGAATCGATTGGCGAAGAGACGAGATCTACTTCGAACACTGCGATTGCACGCAAACAACAACCAGATGGACTGGAGAAGAACCACCGAGCATTGAAGGGCCTAGCCCCGGGACGGCAGGTACCTATTGCGGCCCGCACGAGGTTGACCCTAAGCGGAGCAAGCAGCCCAGAGGCGGGGCATCAGGGAGAATCATGGATGTTGACGTTATCGCGACGACGGAACAGCGACCGGACATGTCGGACGACGAACTCAAGGACTACATCATGATACACCACGAATCACGACAAGCCCTCTGCGCAACAGGGGAAGAAACACAGATACCTGAGGAGTACCAAGAGTACCGGGATGTGTTTGAGCCACCAAAGGATGGTGTGCTCCCAAAGCATGGTCCGTTCGACCATGAGATTAGACTCAAGGAAGGCAAGGAGCCGACCTTCAGGCCGATCTACCAGCTATCACCAATTGAGATGAAAACCCTGAGGGAATACATCGACGAAAACCTCAAAAAGGGATACATCCGGCACTCGACATCATCAGCTGGATACCCAATCATCTTTGTACCAAAGAAGGGGAATGAGCTTCGACTATGTGTGGACTATCGACATCTGAATGA